GCCCATATACTCCCATTGGCCAACCCCTTAGAGAAAACTGAAACCTTCCCATCCACACTTCCACCAGAAGCTTATTCTTGTTACTCTGTGGCCCTTCTGCATGTCTTTCCTTTATCCTCCAGTACAGCTTACATGAAAATCACCACCTCATGTTGGGTATACTACTATAGGAAAATAGGAGTTCTGTGATGTTTCTCATAGTAAGAAATACATGGGAGCTAACGGCTTATTTGGTATTCCGATGTTGAAGTTTATGGGCCTAGGCATAAAAAAGTCCAAAGCATCAGTTCAACTCATATTTTGACATCATTTTGAAGTGTTTGAATTATATATTAGGGGGCCATTGACATTAAACTTTTTGACATCTTCATATTTTGAAGAATTTTGTGCTAATGGATTTGAGCTTCTAAAATGAAATCTATAACTATAATTTCAGGATTGCATAGCATTCACTGGCACTATCTTATGTATGTTGATAAACATGCTAGCTATTTCCTAAACCAATTATTGCAAAAGAACTGGGGTTTTATACAAAAATGAACAACTAAATCCAGATTGACATTTTTTAACTTATAGAATGACTGCTTCTCTAATTCATGTGCCTTCTCAAGTACACATAAAACAATATTGTGAACTATAACTGTAAACTGTAAGAAAGTAGAGTTCTGATTTTTTTATGCAAACTGGTTTGATTTATACTTTAAAATATTAAATTCTTTTCAGAAATAAATATTTTGGTGTTTTTGCTTTTTTTGTTCCTTAGGCCAAGTTTAGGATGACTTTGTTAACCCAATACTGATCTCTGCCTCCCAGGGAGAGACAGCATACCAGGGGAGAGATTGCATCCCCTGGAAAAACAGGAATCAGTTGCTTAATCTTAAATGTGAAATCATGGCCGGGCGGTGGTGGCGCACGCCTTTAATCCCAGCACTCGGGAGGCAGAGGCAGGCGGATCTCTGGGAGTTCGAGGCCAGCCTGGTCTACAAGAGCTAGTTCCGGGACCGGCACCAAAGCTACAGAGAAACCCTGTCTCAAAAAACCAAAAAAATAAAAAAATAAATAAAATCATAAGACTGAAGGTTCCAGATAAGAACTTTGCTATCCTATTGTACAATCTAATGTTTTTCTCTGGAGTGTTTTAATTAAAGACTTCTCTGAGGATCCTAGAGCAGACTTGCTTGCATTCCCCGCCAAAGCTGTTCATGGATCTACCAGTTGTGTCAGGTTTCTTTCAGTGAAAGGTCCTGATAGCCACAGTTCAGGGACAGTCTGTCCTTACTTTCCTTGGCTGTTTGGATTTGTTTTTTTGTTTTGTTTTGTTTTGTTTCCTGGCTAGAGATGTGTTAATGTTGGCATGCACAGATCACCAGAACTAGTTGTTAAATTTCCAGGGATGTAGTAAGCTGTACCTTTTATTCAACAGTCATTGATTGTTTTAATCAAATGATACAAATTAAATCAAGAATAGTACAAACAAAACAATAAGTCACAATTTATCATTCTTTTTTTTAAATTTTTTTTTATTGAGAAAAGGAAAAAAAAGTTTCTGCCTCCTCCCAGCCTCCCATTTCCCTCTCCCTCCTTCCACCCTTCTCCCCCTCCCCCCACTCCTCTCCCCCTCCCTCTCCAGTCCAAAGAGCAGTCAGGGTTCCCTGCCCTGTGGAAAGTCCAAGGTCCTCCCCCCCTCCATCCATGTCTAGGAAGGTGAACATCCAAACGGGCTAGGCTCCCACAAAGTCAGAACATGAGGTAGGATCAAAACTCCGTGTCAGGGGCTGGAGAGATGGCTCAGTGGTTAAGAGCACTGTCTGCTCTTCCAGAGGTCCTGAGTTCAATTCCCAGCAACCACATGGTGGTTGACAACCATCTGTAATGAGATCTGGCACCCTCCTCTGGTGTGTGGGCATACATGGAGGCAGAATGTTGTATACATAATAAATAAATAAATAAATCTTTAAAAAAAAAAAAAAAACTCCGTGTCATTGTCCTTGGCTTCTCATCAGCCCTCATTGTTCGCCATGTTCAGAGAGTCCAGTTTTATCCCATGCTTTTTCAGTCACAGTCCAGCTGGCCTTGGTGAGCTCCCAATAGATCAGCCCCATTGTCTCAGTGGGTGGGTGCACCCCTCGTGGTCCCGACTTCTTTGCTCATGTTCTTCCTTCTGCTCCTCATTGGGACCTTGGGAGCTCAGTCCAGTGCTCCAGTGTGGGTCTCTGTCTCTATCTCCATGCATCACCAGATGAAGGTTCTATGGTGATATGCAAGATATTCGTCAGTATTGCTATAGGATAGGGTCATTTCAGGTTCCCTATCCTCAGCTGCCCAAGGAACTAACTGGGGACATCGCCTTGGGCTCCTGGGAGCCACTCTAGGTTCAAGTCTCTTGCCAACCCTAAGGTGGCTCCCTTAACTAAGAATTGTGCTTCCGTGCTCCCCTATCCAACCTTCCTTTATCCCAATCATCCTGTTTCCCCAAGTTCCCCCCATCCTCCCCTTCTCCCTTTTCTCTCCCCATCTCCCCTTACCCCCATCCCACCCCACCCCCAAGATCCCAATTTTCTCCCCGGCAATTTTGTCTACTTCCCATAGCCAAGAGGATAACTATGTTTTTCCTTGGGTTCCCCTTCTTACTTAGCTTCTTTAGGTTCACCAATTATAGACTCCGTGACCTTTATTTATGGCTAGAAACCAATTATGAGTGAGTACATCCCATGTTCATCTTTTGGGGTCTGTGTTACCTCACTCAGTATAGTGTTTTCTATTTCCATCCATTTGCATGCAAAATTCGAGAAGTCATTGTTTTTTACCGCAGCGTAGTACTCTAATGTGTATATATTCCTCACTTTCTTCATCCATTCTTCCGTTGAAGGACATCTAGGTTGTTTCCAGGTTCTGGCTATTACCAATAATGCTGCTATGAACATAGTTGAACAAATGCTTTTGTCATATGATAGGGCATCTCTTGGGTATATTCCCAGGAGTGGTATTGCTGGGTCCAGGGGTAGGTTGATCCCGAAATTCCTGAGAAACCGAAACACTGATTTCCAAAAAACCATATGATCGTTTCATTAGATGCTGAAAAAGCATTTGACAAAATTCAACATCCCTTTATGATAAAAGTATTGGAGAGATTAGGGATACAAGGGTCATACCTAAATATAATAAAAGCTATATACAGCAAGCCGACAGCTAACATCAGATTAAACGGAGAGAAACTCAAAGCCATCCCACTAAAATCAGGAACACGACAAGGCTGTCCACTCTCTCCATACCTCTTCAATATAGTACTTGAAGTTCTAGCAATAGCAATAAGACAACACAAGGGGATCAAGGGGATTTGAATTGGAAAGGAAGAAGTGAAACTTTCGTTATTTGCAGATGATATGATAGTGTACATAAGCGACCCCCAATACTCCACCAAAGAACTTTTACAGCTGATAAACAATTTATCACTCTTATAATTTGGTTCCATATTCTTGTTTCTGACGTTTTATTTGTGTGGAAACAATATATAGTGATTGGATCTACTATGGTATTTTGAAATTGGCTATGGGGATGGCATTTCTTCTACTATCTAAATTGACAAGTACTTTAAGTCAATGTTTGATTTGTTGCTTTTATTCTTTAGACCTAATAAAGTGATGAATGAAAGGTTAATAGATGAGATTTGGTTGAAGAGCGTTTGGTTTCTGGGACATTGTAAATGCCGGGAGAGGTAGAGGAAGTGCTCTTCCCGTGGAGAGTCTCTCATCTTTCAGCACTCACTGACAGAAGCAGATCCTGATTGCTGTTTATCATGTCACTTTCTTCTCTGGCTTTACCATAAACAGACAGTACCAAGTCAGAACTAATTAGAACTGTAAATTCATTTATAGTTGAATTTGTAATTGAGCAAAAATGAAATGTTTTCTGTGAGAATAATTTTGCGGCTAGTTGATAATGGAAACATTCTATTCTTTGTATTTATTACACTTCACATCCTTTAAAATAGTAAAAATCATAATGAACTCATACACACATGCATCTGTTCTTGATTAATTTGAAAGAGAGTTTCCTATGTTAGTTCCAAACTCCAGTATGTTCCTTTACCTTCTTTTTCCTCTCATTTTTTTTCTTTTCCCTCCTTTCCAGTCTTATTTTTCATACATACTTTCTTTTTAATGAACAAGTACTAAATTAAACCTTAAAAGATAGAAAATACTTGTTTTTTCCTATTTTTAACTTTTATTTTTATATTCTGAATTGCACAGTAGATTAACGTGTAAGGATGTGTCATGGTAACAATATTGTCTCTGCAGTTCTTTAGCGGTACAACAGCAGTGTGAGATTTTATTTGGAACAGTGCTCTCCAGAGATAGTTTTATTGTTTATTTATTTGGAACAGTGCTCTCCAGAGATAGTTTTATTGTTTTTCTTTTTGATACATTGTCTTGGTCTCTCTCTGTACCCCTGGTTGTTCTGGAACTCACTGTGTAGACCAGCCTGACCTCGAACTCAGATCTGTCTGCCCCAGCCACTTCAGTCTTGGGATTAACTTCACCACTAACTCCACAAGATCACAGATGTGTCTCTAACCAGTTGTTTACTTTGGGATTTACATTAACAAAGGAATATTTTGAACTCAGTTACTAAGAAAAGAACAGTGGCTATATCTTCCGTTATACCTGGTGATACCTGTGTATTTCGGAGTCTTATAACCCCCAGAGGGGATGCATTATCTCTACGTGGGAGTTGGTCACTTGTTCATTACCCCCTCTCTAAGAAGTGCTTGCCTCTGTAGAGTGCTCTCCAAAGCCTTTATCTTTTACCTTGGTCTAAGGATGGTTCTTATTTAGTAGTATGTTTGAAAATTTTAGTTATTAAAGTTATTTAATTTTCATTTTTATGGCTATGCATTTAAAATTATTTCGAACACAGTAAATTTTATCTACACAAAAGGTTTTATTGTGTGACTTATGTAAATGTTTTCCATTTTTTAAATTTTATTTCTATACTCACAGCCTTGGTGGAGGGCCAGATGATGCAAAAGAAATTATGAGGCATAGTTTCTTTTCTGGAGTAAACTGGCAAGATGTGTACGACAAAAAGGTAAGATGTCTTTGTGATACTCTACACAGCAGAAATTTATGGGAATAGAATTTAATAATGCAGTGATATTTCCTATTTTACTTTGGTGTTTAAACAATAACCAAACTTCTTAGCATAATTTTTCATTTGTAATTTTGTGCCTCTTAAAACTCCTCCCAATTGTCAAGAGTTTATTTTGTCTTTTTTTAATAATAATTTCTTCAGCCTTATTTCTTCCAGCTGAAAAAGAAGACACCTAACATTTTGTTTTTCATTTAGATAAGTCAAAAGAGAAATAATAATTTATAAAAATTGCCTTTATGTCTTAATTCAGAACATTTCTCATTCAAATATATAGATTCTTTATTTTTAAAACAATTTGCAGTAAAACAGTTTTTGTATTTAACAAAGTAAGGATTTATGGTCTTATTTGTATCCTTTCTGTTACTTGCAACATAACTTTATTTCCCACAGAAATGATTGCTGCCAATTATGTACCTTTATTTTAATTATAACGCGCATTTTTCCTTTTGGTGTTTGTTCATTACTTAAGACTGTGTCACACTTGGCTCCGGCTGCCGTGCAGCTTGCTGTGCATTCTGGGCCTGTCGTCAGTCACAGTGGTTCTCTTGTCTGTCCTCCACAGTGCTGGGTTCCAGATGTCTCTGCCAGCTTTAGTACTTCACTTTGCCTTCAGATATTGTTAATACAGATACTGATTTTGATTTTTAAATGCTTCCATAATTTTTTTTATATGTGTGTATGTGGCGGTGGGTTGAAGTCATATCATTCTGCATTCTCTTACACTGAGCCTCGGAGCTTACTGATGAGGCTGGCCTGGCTGGCCAGTGAGCAATAAGGATCTGCTTGTCTATGTCCCTCAGCCATGGGGTATCACTGTGTGCTACCATGCCTAGCTTTTTGCGGGTGCTGGAACGCTGAACTCATGTTCTTATGTTTGTGTGCTAGTTACTATACGTAAAGAGTTACCTCTCCAGCTCTTTATATAAAATTTTAGTGTAAAATTTTGATGTTCAGTAATTTACTTTACTTGATGTTTTATCTCATTAATTTATCTAATCTAACCATTTCTGGATTTTTTTATATTTTTATCTGAAATATTTGTTTTGTGCCAAATACTTTCCTCTTTGAGTACCATAAAAGGATACCAGTACAAATCATAGGGGAAATGATTGATATTTCACTTTTATGTTAGATTGTTGGCAATGGGAAATTTGGTGTTTTTTTTCCCTTCCTGTATCTAAGCATTTAAGGTAATTGTCCATTTAAATATTTACTTAAATCTTCACTTTAACCAAACTTACATATTTTGCGTTTCTAACATGTGAAAGCACATGTATGTTTTAGGTCTTTCACAGACTCTATGAAACTCATCAGCATTCTGAATGCTGTGAATGTTAATTGACTTGATCCAGGCAATTGCATCCACATTATAAGATAGATAATGATCCTTATGAGATAGATATATACCTAAGAAAGTCTCTGTGAGCTATGCTCTGGATATCATGTCTCTGTAGTACAAAAGAACTGGAAATAATGCATGGTCAGGCATAAGCACCTGCACTTACTTACTGGGTCAAGATCACCTGATATGGCCATGAGGAATGAAATGAAGACAGGTTGGAGGAGCTACAGCACAACTGAGGCTGTGGTAGTTTTATTGCGAGTCCCCATGACACACATGGTAGAAAGAGAAACCTACTCCTACCAGGTGTCTTCTGACTTCCACATGTGAGCTGTGCCACATGCAGACCCTTCTACATACACTCAGATAAATAAGTATTATAAAAATTCAAATATGTAACTTATGTATAATTAGGTATTTCATCTTTAAAGTTGGGCACTATCACTTACTAATAAACTTTGTGTTTATTATTTTTTGTATTAGTCCATAATTAATGCCTAGTTTTCTAATTAAAATGTTTTTTGAGACAGTCTCACTGTGTGTCTCTGTGTAATGTAGAACTGATGGTGGTAACCAGGCTGACCTTGAATTCACAAAACCTGCCCTTTTTTTACCCCTTTCTAAATATTTGTGACACAATAGAGATGACATATTTAGTACCTTAAAACTATGTCTTAATCACTGTCTTCAAAAACAGAAGTGAAATAGTTATAGTAGCATGGTAACCCTCAGGAGAAGGTGGAAGAGCTGATCCTTTGTTCTCCAATGCATCTTGCCCTCTCACCCCCTTTGCAGAGAGGGACAGCCATTTGAGCCTTAGGAGAATATGATTGTTTTAGCACCCTTAAGCTGGAAGATTTTTCTGGCAGGTTGTTTGCTGGTGTAACTCGTCACCATGGTCTTTCCTGCTGGGTCTTCCTGTGTAACCTGTCTTGCCCTCAAACTCAACACCCTCTCTCCATTGGTTCTTTGAGTTACAGGTATGCACTGCTAACTAGTCCAGCCTCGGATTTCATTTCATTTATTTATTTTAATATTTTTAGAATTATTTTATGTGTGTATGAGTGTTTTGCCTACACATGTAAGTACTCACTCTGTGTTTGTGTAGTGTCATGTCCATGAGTGTGTAGTTTCCATGGAGTTCATAGTATTACAGATATTTGTGAGCTGCCATGAGTGTTCTGGAGCCCGGGGCCCAAACTCCAGTCCTGTACAAGAAGAGCAACAATTAACCATGGAGCTCTCTTTCAAACCCAGCTTCAAATTTGAAAAGAATCAAATTAATTTGGATTTCATTAATTTTTCTCTATTGTGGGTTTGCTTGTTTGTTTGGGATTTTATCTTAGTGTGTGTGTGTGTGTGTGTGTGTGTGTGTGTGCGTGTGTGCGTGTGTGCACGCGCTATTGCATGAGTGCTTGCGTGAGTGCTTGCGTGAGCGAGCACATGAATGCTGGGACTTGAACTTAACCAAGGTCTTACATGTCATGTGCTAGGGAAGTGTGCTGCCACTGTGCAGTCTCACTTAGCCCATTTGATTATTTCATCATTCTGCCGCATTTGCGTTTTATTGCTAGTTTTGTAGGTTAGAACCATGATTATTGTTGAGCCTTTTTTTTCCCTAAGCCAACATTTCTTAACCTGTGGATCGTGACCCCTTTGGGGGTCAAATGACCCTTTCACAGGGATCGCCTAAGGCTATTGGAAAACAGATATTTACATTACAATTCATAGCAGTAGCAAAATTACAGTTTTGAAATAAGAACAAAATGATTTTATGGCCGGGGGTCAGCACAACGTGAGGAACTGTATAAGGGTCGCAGCATAGAAAGGCTGAGAGCTGATGCTCTTGAGACTTTATTTATTTATTTATTTATTTATTTTTAACTTTTTTTTTTTATTGAGAAAAGGAGAAAAAAAAACAAGTTTCCGCCTCCTCCCAGCCTCCCATTTCCCTCCCCCTCCTCCCACCCTTCTCCCCCTCCCCCCACTCCTCTCCCCCTCCCTCTCCAGTCCAAAGAGCAGTCAGGGTTCCCTGCCCTGTGGTAAGTCCAAGGTCCTCCCCCCTCCGTCCATTCCTAGGAAGGTGAACATCCAAACTGGCTAGGCTCTCACAAAGCCAGCACATTACGTAGGATCAAAACCCCATGCCATTGTCCTTGGCTTCTCATCAGCCCTCATTGTTCGCCATGCTCAGAGAGTCCAGTTTTATCCCATGCTTTTTCAGTCACAGTCCAGCTGGCCTTGGTGAGCTCCCAATAGATCAGCCCCATTGTCTCAGTGGGTGGGTGCACCCCTCGTGGTCCCGACTTCTTTGTTCATGTTCTCCTTCCTTCTGCTCCTCATTGGGACCTTGGGAGCTCAGTCCAGTGCTCCAGTGTGGGTCTCTGTCTCTATCTCCATCCATTACCAGATGAAGGTTCTATGGTGATATGCAAGATATTCGTCAGTATTGCTATAGGATAGGGTCATTTCAGGTTCCCTATCCTCAGGTGCCCAAGGAACTAACTGGGGACATCGCCTTGGGCTCCTGGGAGCCACTCTAGGTTCAAGTCTCTTGCCAACCCTAAGGTGGCTCCCTTAACTAAGAATTGTGCTTCCGTGCTCCCCTATCCAACCTTCCTTTATCCCAATCATCCTGTTTCCCCAAGTTCCCCCCATCCTCCCCTTCTCCCTTTTCTCTCCCCATCTCCCCTTACCCCCATCCCACCCCACCCCCAAGATCCCAATTTTCTCCCCGGCAATTTTGTCTTCTTCCCATAGCCAAGAGGACAACTATATGTTTTTCCTTTGGTTCACCTTCTTATTTAGCTTCTTTAGAATCACCAATTGTAGACTCCGTGACCCTTATTTATGGCTAGAAACCAATTATGAGTGAGTACATCCCATGTTCATCTTTTTGGGTCTAGGTTACCTCACTCAGGATAGTGTTTTCTATTTCCATCCATTTGCATGCAAAATTCGAGAAGTCATTGTTTTTTACCGCAGCGTAGTACTCTAATGTGTATATAATTCCACACTTTCTTCATCCATTCTTCCGTTGAAGGGCATCTAGGTTGTTTCCAGGTTCTGGCTATTACAAATAATACTGCTATAAACATAGTTGAACAAATGCTTTTGTCATATGATAGGGCATCTCTTGGGTATATTCCCAGGAGTGGTATTGCTGGGTCCAGGGGTAGGTTGATCCCGAATTTCCTGAGAAACCAAAACACAGATTTCCAAAGTGGTTGCACAAGATTGCATTCCCACCAGCAATGGATGAGGGTACCCCTTCCTCCACAGCCTCTCCAGCAAAGGCTATCATTGGAGTTTTTGATTTTAGCCATTCTGACAGGTATAAGATGATATCTCAAAGTTGTTTTGATTTGCATTTCCCTGATCACTAAGGAGGTTGAGCATGACCTTAAGTGTCTTTTGGCCATTTGAACTTCCTCTGCTGAGAATTCTCTGTTCACTTCAGTGCCCCATTTTTTTAATTGGGTTAACTAGCATTTTAAAGTCTAGTTTCCTGAGTTCTCTATATATTTTGGAGATCAGTCCTTTGTCTGTTGCGGGGTTGGTAAAGATCTTCTCCCAGTCAGTAGGTTGCCTTTTT